CTGAGTTGTTATTACTGTCTTGTGGTATGCAGTCAGAAATACATTACAGGTACATCAATGGCATTAGCAAATAATGAACACCTAGCACTTACATAGATGATGCCAAATGGTTTATTAAATCCAGGGACAGGTAGCTGAAACATGAATTTCAGTTGAGATACCAAAACGTGGATAGCTGCAGCAGTTGTAAAACCACTGATTAATGATTGTGATAGATAAATAACGATGAATCCAAACTGGAAAATTCCCAGAAGCAACTGAAACACAAAATGAGCATAGGTCAGTGGGATGCATTTGTGTTTTTAAACAATCTTTGAAAGAAAGACAACCATATTTAATGAAAGCAAAGACATTCACCTAATTGCATACATCCAGAGATTAAGGAATGTACTGTCACCAGACTTGCAAAAAAAGTTGACATTCAGCAACAGAGAACAAAATACTAGTAAGAGTAACTGCTGCAGCAGTTAAAACCCATTCTTTTTATTTTATAGCTAAAATACACATCATTATTTCTAGGGTTTTCAGTTCCTATATTTTCACATGGTACAAGTATTTCATGAAGAAACAAATATATTAGTATGTTAGGAAGGGAGGAACTGTACTAGGGAGTAAGGATAATTTTTTTTTTTTAAACAGATCCAAATATTTTACTATTGCAAGGCAGAGCTTTTATTCCCCTTGGTGCATCTGCATCATTCACAGATATTTTTTTCCTATCCAGCAGGAATGTTTTTTGCTGTAGGTGTAGGTTGCAGCTGTGTGAACTGTGGGCTCAGGCCTGTGCAAAACCAAGGATTTCAGAGCACATGTGAAATCCTTGGTCACTGGAGGGAAGAGATGTCTCCTAATCAGTGAGCCAGGGTCAGTTACATGGAAAGTGAAAGAGGATTACTTTGATGACTACAACAGCAGAAACCAGACAGGAAGGTCAGGCCACCCTCCATCTATTCACATAGGTGTGCACACACATACATTTACTAACCTGAATAACCCCAGAAAGGAAGGTTACAGATGCAGCCACCATCACCCTCTCATCATTTATTGCTGAGGTATTTGTGGAATTGCCATTCCCAGTGCTATTATCTGGGACCAGCCTGGTGACGACTCCTCCCACCATGAGGCTCAGGACAGGGAAGGGACCTGAGCAGCACAAGGCACTTGTTAAAAGATCTGAAGAGGCAGCATGTAGCTCTTTATCAGTGATGAGGGTAAGTGGTGTGCCTGAACTTACCCACTGAGATATGTCTCGATGTGCCAAAGATAAAATAAACCAGGACAGGGAAGAAAGCTGCATAGAGTCCGTAACTGGGGGGAACATTCACCAGCAAAGCAAAGGCCAGACCTGTAAAGACAGAGGTCCAGGGAAGGTGAAGTGTGTGTTGCAGGCTGAAGCCAGCAGTGCCTTGGCACCTGGCTTAGCAGGCTGTCAGGACACACATTTATTTCCCAAAGGTACCTTGCAGCACAGCCACGAGCCCCGTGTTGATGCCAGAGATGATGTCATTCAGGACCCACTCCCTGAAGCGGTATGCTGGCAGCCAGGAAATGACTGGAAACAAACCCAAAGCAAATTTTTTGGCCCTTTGTGGGGAGCAGCTGCAAAGGCACAAGGGGACAAAATTTTGTCAGTGAACAGCTTGGCTGAATTGCAGCCTTTTTCAGAGAGGTGAGGAAAGGGGAAGGATACAGGTTCTGGCTGCCAGAAGCCAAAATCTCACCCGGAGAGATCCCTGATCAACCTGCACTGCCATTTGTGCTTCCAGGTATGTCCAGTGGCCTTCAGAGGTCCTTTCCAAACCAAATTCTCATAGAACCCTAGAATGGCTTGGGTTGGAAAGGAACCTCTGTGGCCATCTAATCCAAACCCCCACCCCAGTAAGCAGGCATGCCACCCACTGGGTCAGAGCCTTGCCCAGTCTAACTTTGAACATTTCCAGGGAGAGGGCATCCACCCATTCACTCTTTGGGCAACCTGTGCCAGTGTCTCATCACCCTTATAATAAAAAAATTATTCTTGATATCTAGTCCAAATATACCTTCTTTTTGTTTCAAACCATCATCCATTGTCCTGCTGCAAAAGGCTGGTAAAAAAACTGAGTCTATCTTTCTCACAAGAACTTTTTAAGTACTGAAAGAGTACAGTAAGGTCTTCCTAGAGTCTGTGCTGCCAAGGGCCCAGAAAAAAAGATGCTATCTTCGTTACAGCTGTAGGAAGACTTCTAAAGGTAACAACAGTCAAAATCCATTAGAAAAATCTGACATTGAATATAGTTAATGAATTTTCACTGGCTATGTTGGAATGGGAGATGGACACTGTCAAGATGGAGTTTATGCTGTCCAAGAGCAGTTAGGACTGTTTCTTAGATCTAATTAAAAAAAAAAAAAAATCTCCTTACCTAAAATAGAGTTTCAGGTGATCCCAAAAGGTTTTATGGTATCTGTGCAATTTCTCATGCTCTTCATTGAATGCATTCTCTGAGTATACAGGTCTGGCTATAACATAATGGTTACCCACAGGTTCAACCATCTCTCCTGAAATATCAGGATAGGATGGTTACTTGTGTGTGCTCCTCTCTGCTCCAGGCACTTGAAAACCTGAAATGAAGAACAGAGTTAGCTCCTTTTGTACTGTGGGGCAGGTAGCTATAGCATAGCTGAGTGAGCTCCAAACTGAGCGTTACCACCTTTGAAGATCAAAAGAGGGATGGTTCAGACACCCACTTCACTTTGCCAAGGTGATCTCCTGCCCTGCTCCTCCTCCCACTGCTGAGCAGTGTTTCACTGGAGCATGAAGTATTTCTTTCTAAAGATGCAGCCAAAAAGTGGACAAGATGGTTTTTGAGTTAATTTATCTCTCAATCAACCATGTACAATCAAAAACTTCCTCCCTCAAAGGAAATTAATTTCCTAAAGAACAAACAAGGAGATCCCAGTGCTCTTTGTGGCACTGCTGGGAGGGCTGGGAGCTCACTGTAACCCACACATGAGGGGCAAGGCAGAGCCCAGGCAGGGCTCAGCCATCCTCTCTTGGATTCAGAGACAAGGCTGAATGTATTGGGCTGGGTTTGTGTAGCAAGGAGATCAGGCTCAGTAGTAGAAAAGTGTGATATTGCTGCTTGTTATTTGTAAGGTTTATTTCTACAGATTGTCTGGACTGCTTCTCCTCTGCTTCCTGTTCATGAACAGTTGTTGCAATGTCTTACCTGAATGCTATTTTCTGCCTTGTCCCAACCCACATTTGCATGAAGAGAAACTGTCCTAGGTCACTCCAGAAATGACCCTTGGAGCCCACACTACACAAGAGAATGAATCTGCTCATCACTCACTTCAGTCAACACCACTGCAGCAATTTTGCAGCAATTAATAAATGCCATCACTGTGCTGTTCACTGTGCTGTTATGTTTCTCATTATGCCACACATTCTTCCCACATTAAATTCACCTTAAACCTATACTATCTAAAAATATTTCTCTCAGTTGAAGCCACCATTAAATGTTTAATATAGTACTAGCCCCAGACAGAAGCTGTGGAACTTGCTCTTTGTAGCAACAGTTGGATGAGACGACCATTGTAAGATCCTTCCAACTGGAACTAATGTGTTGGATCCTGTTCTATTTTGTTTTGGCTCAGAGATGAAGATGTGCTGTAGGAAGCAAGTAGTCTTTTGGGACACTGATAATAGAGTTTTAAAATTTATTTTCTCTCCCTTAATGAAAATGCTCCATGGTGCCTTGGTGCTGGCTGGTGGTCTCTTGACAGATGTCTGACAAGCACCAGTTCCTCACTCATGTCTATCATCTGACTCCTGCTGAAATACCCTACATGCATATCTAATTCAGACCTGGGAGTACTCAACATTTGGAAATGTCACAGCACAGATTTTAATGTAACACAAAGCTGTTTGCATAGTTATGAATAGATGAAAAGCTTTTAATCTATGATAATTTTAGCATTAAAATATAAATCCCATCTTGAAACTTTGCTACAACTCAGAGTCTATTATTGACCTATTTGAAGTGATTTCATTTTAGTTTCCTTGTTGTTCATTCTGTGGAAATTCATAGACATGTGTAGAAGTCCAAACAATGTTGACGAACATCTTAGGTATTTTGTTGACATACTATTCTTGCACAAAGGATTCACTATTTTGGCAATGGGTTCAACATTTTTACTCCTTGTTTTAACATTAAAATTTTGATCTTTAAGCTTTTCCAAAAACTGGCAGGCTGTTATTCTTGCAGGCAAATGTGCAAAATCTAAGCTCACTCAAAACACTGATCCAAAGTAATTTTACAAATTACTGCTGTCCCTCCCTCTGTTGGGATCGGAGTTCCAAAACTGAAGCTGATAAAATTTCTATGCAAAAATTAGTTCTGTTTATTTCCTGATAAATTGTGGTTACTTAGATTTGCAAGTTGTTTTATCTATTAAAGGTTTTTAATTGCTCTGTTTCCTAGTCTGTGTGTCTGCCTTTTAGACTTCATGTCACAGGGGGATATTGCTGAAAGTCCTGTGGAATAGTTTTGTCCATTATATTATAGGGCACCAGATGTACTATTTGTACCCTTTGAAAAGTTCATAATCCATAAAAATAAAAGAAGTGTATGGGTGACTCTTTCATTTCAGATTTTCCCCAGTTCTGTAGCTTTTGAGAGTACTTCAGTTGTCTCTCCTGCCCCTTGCCCAGCCATTCTTTCTTCAGGCCAAATGTATTGCCCCAATCTCAGGGAGCATACCATAGCTTCTTTACAACTCTCTAAACATCCTTTGGTTTATTAGTGTTGGTCTTACTGGAGGTGTAAGTGTTTTGCATGTATTTTTTACCTCCTGAGTGTCCCCCCCACCCCTCCCCCAATTTACAGACTCTTTTGGGGGCTGATGGCTTAGAGCTGCAGGGGGTACCAGGAGTTTTGCCAAGATGAAGTCTGCATTAAACACCACAGTGCTGTGCTTCAGTGAGGTTTAACCAAGCCAGCCCAAGCACCTGCAGTGCAGTGGAAGCTGCCTTCAGCCTGTTCCCTGGCAGGTAAACAGGACCATGTGAGGCAGATACGTGACCACTGCTGCTAGGCAAGCTTCTCCTGCCTCATTCCCTCTTCCAAGGCTCTGTCAGCAGCTGTCAGATACCACGACTGCAGCCAGTATTGCCTTCCTCTTGCTTGCTCTCATTTTCTTCCCATATATCTTTAAAAAGATGGGATGCCCTCAGTATAGGGAGGATTTTTTATCTGTTAGACATTACTTACTTTGTTTTAAAGAAAATGAGGATATTGTGAAAAGTACCAGCATGGTGAATGCCAGTGTCCTTCACAAATTCCTTAAAAGAGAAGTCTGTACTCCAGTGATCCACACTGCCTCTCTAGAGTGCCTTGGGCTCCTTGGGGGACAAGACCAATTCTTCTGATGACTTCTATAATGTGTTCACCCACACATGAGGAAAACCAGCACAGACCAAGCTCACACTGCACAGCTATTGGATGGTTACAACTTTCAGTCACTATTGACTAGATCTGAAATAGAACTCCAGAGACAACATCCTAGTTCAGTTTTAATCCATATAGCCTCTGATCCTTCTCATGTTCAGCAATTAACAGCATTGCCATTTCTCACATGTAAAAATCTCCAATCCCTCAGCTCTGTGAAATCTTGGAAATGTGTATTTTCATGTGTGCCATTTTGTTGAGAGGATTAACAAGAGGATATTTTTTCCCCTTTATTGATTTATCCTAAATATTGACTAAGAAGTACACAAAAATATGTAATTGTAATTAAATAATTAAATATTAACACAGTCCATCTCACTTTTAAATCTGTGCATATCACTCACAAATTGAACTTCTCTGCAATATAAACAATTGAAAAATACAAAGAAATTCCACAAAGAAAATTTTTACATTAAAAAAATAAAACACATGACTAGAAGCATTTCATTGAGAAGCATCACTTCACATATCCCATACCTAAAATGACAATTTTAAGTTGTACCTGGTATATCTTCCAGGAAGCTCTTCAGAAGAAACTACACCAAGATTTTTGGATAAAGATGCCCCTGAAATTTTCACAGGTAGTGCAGGTATCTTGTGTTCTTCTTCACTTCGGAACCTCCCTAAATACTGCCAGCACTTTAATAACTAACTTCAGTTAACTTTTACAAGAAAAGGAAGATTTAACTGTGGCCTTGACCGTTAAGCTTATCCTCAGGAGGGGTGATAAGGAGTAATTTCTTAAAGTTCTCTGGGATATTGCTTATCTTTGTTTGGTGAACTGTTTCTGATTGGTCTGCAGAGGACATATGGGAAAATAGAGATGAATAAGAAGGACAGTCTGTTGCAATCCTGTATTGTTGCTGAGCTGAAGTGGGAAGAGTGGACAGAGCTCAGCTATGACACCCTTCATTTCTGGAGAAGCCTAAGTCATTGATGAGGGAGATGGGCTGCTGGGCATGCCAGCTCTGAGCAAAGCTTGCCTCCCCAGACCTTCCTCCAAAGCATCTTTAATAGTCCTTAAATTGTCTTTCCAAAAGCAAGTTCTGGATCCTCAGATTATTGCCAAAACTAATCTTTACAGGGATTTCCAAAGGGCAGCTGTGACTTGGGGGAGCTGGCAGCCATGGCACCCCATGAGAGACAGTGGAAAGGCACAGACCGTGTGCCTGGCCACGTGCTGTGGCATGGGTGGGTTGGACTGAACTGCAGGTTCCTGCTGCCCTCCATTGCCCATGGAACAACCAGGGGGGATCATCCTTCCTAGGCCGAAGTGAACCTTTGATAAACATTTCCCTGAGACACCTAAAACCTCCTAAGGAGATACATGAAATGACATTTCGAGGTCCTAGGTTGCAACTTCAGTTCCGGGCGCCTGTGTTCATGATGGCAGTGAGCCTTCAGAGCTGAGGTGCTGAGAACACTCCAGCATTGAAGTGCCCTGATGGAAACGGTCCTTGCAACCCTTTACTTAAGCCACACTGACATGAACACCCAGCAATGCTTCAGCTGTTGATACCCATGCTATCATGAAGACCTAGGTTTGCCAGGCTCCATAGGGTACTCCTCTGCTCTGGAAGTCAAAGCTTGACTTAGCCTCTGGGGATTTGAAGTTGCAGATTCTGCCTCCAAAGAAAGTTTTTTTCATCTAGTGAAAGGTCACAATATGAGGCACCCTTCATGCTCTGCAGGATCAGTCACACACATGGATCCAGGAGAAGAGGCAGGAGGAGCTTGGAATTCTCTCCTCAGGTGGTTTCCCCACATTTGAGTCAATTATTAGACCAAGATATGATGAAGCAAGCAGGACCCCAGTATCCAATCTCACAAGGTGTGCCTCTATTAGACCATTCAGCAGGATGTCTTTCTTGTGTTTTAGCCCCCTGAGAGTTGTTAGAGACCTCAGGTTCTTTTGAAAGTTAGAGCTATATTTCTAACCAAGACCATGAGCTTGTCAAGTCAGTAGAGATCCCAGGTCACTTGCCAAACTGTTGTGAGTACCTTCTCCATCAGCAAGACCCTGGTTTGGTATCTGCTGTTGGCT